GTGTGTGTGTGTGTGTGTGTGCGTGCATATGCACACGTCTGCTTTTCTAGATTCTTTTAAGGGATGAACTGTGTCTCACAACCACCCTCCCCTCAAGAGAGCATCCACCAATGTCTCTTTCACACACAGAAGAGTCTTAAAAACTTTTTGCTTGGTAGAAGCTTCCAGGTTGTCCTGATTTTTTCATCTAGAGATGGTCCAAGGGCTTTGGCTGCCAGCTGGCTGTGGTGTAGATGATGCAAAGAACAGGGCAGCAACAAATTAACTGGCCATGTCATGTTACATTTTTCTTTTATAAACTTTCCCTTTCCCTTTCTGTCAGCATTATTTTGGGAGGCTTTCCTCCTCAGTGGTTATAAACTAAGATGCAACTGCTTGACCTGGGAGGCCACTTGGATCAATTGAGGTCTCCTCCCAAGAAAAACTTGGAATGCCTTGCATTTTGTCTGCTTGACTTAACCATAATTTATTTAAACCCAGCCTCTTGTAGTTTATATATCTCAATTGGCCCATTCTGTGGGATGCAAGCCACTGTGTGTTTTCACTCCGCTTTTGGTTTTGTAAGCAAGTATGTTTAACAATCAGATTAATCATTCTGTAAAACTTGAGTCCTGCCTCTATTAGGAACCAATGCTTTTTAGCTATGGTTGGAATCCATTGCTTTGAGTATTTAGGAAGAACAGCATACTTTTTACATATATTTATGTTTTCATTGGTATTTTATTACTGAATTCTGAGGAGTGAATTTCCTTTTCTTTTCTTCCTTTTTTTTGGTTGCCTTGGATTTCATTCCATTACATTTTTATTTCAGAATTTTTCTGAGTTTGCTCTATTCTTTTTCTTTGAGGAGTACTCTGCCTGTCTTTATATGCATTAGAAACATAGGCACCAGCATTTTGGTGATAATACGCACTAGGATTTGCTGTGAGGAAACTGGCCTCTGGAGGGCTGGTAAATTTGACATACCACACTTTGTGTGGCTGCTTCTTTCTACTGCAAATATTAATGATGGTTGCTTTAAACAGAAAATGCTTCATTCAAGTCTTAATATAGGTGTGCTGAGGCTCCCAAAACATATGTGAGTATTGTAATTTGAAAATAGGAAATGAAGAATGGCTGGCTAGACCATTAGGCTGCTCTACAGAAGGTCGATACATATATGCAATGGAAAGCACAAAGTGACTTTGACCCAAGTCTTGGTTTCTCAACTTTAAAATGGCCTTGGCTGTGGACATGCAGTGGGGGGATGTAAATGCACAGCCCAAGTGAACAGCCTGGCTGTGATCAACTTAAAACAAATCAAGAAAAAAAAATGAAACAAAATCCTTTTTTGAGCGTTCACTAGGTATTTATTCAATTCAATTGAATAAATAAAGACTTGGGAATTTAAACACTACATTTTCCCAGCTTCACTGAAATATAATTGACAAAAATACTATATATTCAAGGTGTATAATGTGATGATTTGATATATGTATATAACGTATAGTGATTACCATAATCAAGTTAATCAACATGTCAATCATCACACATAATTATCATTTTGTGACTGCATATGATGAGGTCATTTAAGATTTACTCTTTTAGAAATTTTTAAGTAAATAATACAGTAGTATTAACTTTAGCACCATGTTGTATATTATATCCCAAGAATGTATTTATCTTATAACTGCAAGTTTGTACCCTTTGACCAACATCGCCTTGTGTCGCCCACCTCCCTGCCTTTGGCAACTACTATCCTCATCTCTGCTTCTACGAGTTTGCCTATCCTAGATTCTGCAGAAAAGGGAGCTCACGCAGTATGTGTCTTTCTGTGTTTGGCTTATTTCACTTAACATAATGTCCTCCAGGTTCATTTCTGTTGTGGCAAATGGCATGATTTCTTTCTCTTTTATGGTTGAATAATATTCCATTTTATGTATATGCCACGGTTGTTTTTTTTTTTATCCATTCATCTGTTGATGAACACTCGGGTTGCTTAAATATGACTTTAAAAAAAGTGAAATGTTTGCCAACATTTCTTTTATTTTTAAAGGGGCTGACAAATGTGCTTTTAAAGCTACACTCTGCATTTGAATACTTGTATCATGCAGACATTGCAGTAAACCTGAAGTGGCCAAGGTGCAGCAGTTTAGTGTAGCTCTTAAAGGGAAACTGAAATGCATAGTCCAGTCATGAGTATTAGAGTTGACACTAAAGATCTTATGAGCACAGCAGATATCACGTAGCAAATTTTACTGATTCCCCACTGCCCCTCCCACATAACTCATTCCCAAAGACTTCTCATTCTCCCTATTTTCTCAGATCCATCCACGTACAGCATCCCCCCAAGCCTATTCCAAGACTGTCCAGGGAGACGGCCAGGGTTTTAGGATGCACTTTGGTGTGAGGGTGAGGTCTCAAAGGGAAGTCAATGATGCTGTCTTTTAAGGAGCTGTGTTTTGCAGAATAGGATTAATAAGCTTCAACCTAGAGCTAAATTTGTAGAATATAGAGCAGAGTTTGGTGGTAGGATGAGAGCTGGGCTTTTGGTAAACCTGGGGGCTGGGTGTGACTTGTCCAGAGGCCACTCTTGGTTCACAGTTACCATATGTGACCAAATTGTTGGCTCACCAGAAGGTCCTTCACCACCAGTGCAGGTCACCTCTCAAAGGCACAGCAATGTCTGGTCTTGTATCTGGCATTTCCCAGGTACTTCTCCAGATGACTCTGCAGTGCTACACCTCTAGACCTCTCTCTTCATGGTGACAGATCCTCCTCTGCAGCCTCTTCAACTCCAATTCTGCCTTCTTCAACTCTGAAGGGTCCTAATTCCTTCTTGGATTTCCCTGATACTGAGAAATTTGTTGATGAACCCAGGGAAACCTAAGAGTGAACTGTTTCCTTGAGCTCAGATCTCCCAATTTAAGGATTTGGGTGTATCCAACAGAGAGGGCTTGTCTGCAGTGTGAGCCTCTAGCTGTCTTCTCTTCTTAACCAAAGTCAGAATCAGCCCCCAAGCAACAGGCCCAATGACATCACCTTGAAACAGGCAGCTCTTGCTCCTGTGTGGGGGCCTGACCCCTGCTGTGGAACTCAGGGCATCAGCAGTGAAGTTAACTTTGAATTCACTCTGAGGGGGCCTAGCACAGGGTGGCCAGTGTGGAGGTGGTCAGCCTCTCTCACTGACAAGTTCTGATCACTCAGTGGGGATTTTAGTCTTGTCCACCTGCATTAGCTTCCTACTGCTGCTATAACAAAGGACCCCAAACCTAGCTGCCTAAAACAACACAAAGTTATTAACTTATGGTTCTGGAGGTCAGAAGTCCTAAATGAGTCAGCAGAGCTGCCTTCTTCCTGGAAATTCTCAGAGAAGATCGTTTCTCCGTCTTTTCCAGCATCTAGAGGCTGCTCATATTCCTTGGTCCAATGTCCTGCTTCACTGTGACTTCTGCTTCTGTTCTCACACCGCGCTGACTTGGACCCTCCTGCCTCCCTCTTATAAGGACACTTGTGATGACATTGGGCCCACAAAGATCACCTTCCCATCCCAAGATCCTTAACTTGGTCACGTCTGTAAAGTCCCATAATGTTGACAAGTTCTGGAGACTATCCAATGAAGACAGACAGCTATGGGATGATTACTCCGTGTACTAGTCTGTTTTCACACTGCTGATAAATACATACCTGAGACTGGGTAATTTATAAAGAAAAAGAGGTTTGATGGAGTCACAGTTCCATGTGGCTGGGGAGTCCTCACAATCATGCAAGAAGACGAAAAGCGTGTCTTACATGGCTGCAGGCAAGAAAGAAAATGAGAACCAAGGGAAAGGGGTTTCCCCTTATAAAACTATCAGAGCTTATGAGGCTTATTCAATACCATGAGAAAATGTAGGGGAAACTGCCCCCATGATTCAACTGTTTTTCACTGGGCTCCTCCCACAACACATGGGAATTACAGGAGCTACAATTCAAGATGAGATTTGGGTGGGGGTACAGCCAAACCATATCACTCAGTCTACCACACCCCCTTCTTCAGCTTCCTGTGGGCTGTGTAATAAGAGGTCCTTAACACCGCTGAGCCTAATCATTTGGAAAATCAAAGCCCTTTCACCTGAGTGCCTCTCATTGTGTGAGGTTTTCAGGATTACCTTCTTTTTCCATCATTAGCAGTAGAGTCTCCTAGGTGCAGGCTACAGGGAAGTAACCATCTTCCTCAGAAGCAAAACAACAACATGGGCATTTTTGTTGCCCTAAATCCTCAGCAGTTATCTCAGAAACACTTTTTATGTTAGGACACTGAGTCTTCTAATTACGGATCTTTTCAAGTTCATCACTGAACAATGCTCAGAGCTGCTGTCACAGCCGAGTTGGCTCTATCTCAAGTTCCAGATAATGATCTAAGCATTTCTTTCAGCTCTGGGAAGCTCAAGAATTAGTCTTGTGCCTAAATTTGCATAACAATCTTTCACTGAGAGTAGTCCAATAACTGATAATATGTATCCTGCCATGTGAGAGCAATGTGTTCTAAAACGTTCTGGAGCCACGCTTTTGAGAGGCTGTTGCCTTCTTTCTTATTCTTTGCAATTCTTAAAATACTTAGCCAGAGTATTATGTGGCTAGAGCTACATAGGTATTGCCTATCTCGGGAAACTTGATGACCTCCGCTGCACACTCTTTAAAGCCTTCCACTAGTGCCTATCATTCTCACATTCCACTCACCACTACTCTTGCAGATTTCTGTTAGGATGGGTCAGCCAAGGTTCAAATGTCTTTTCTTCCTGGGTAGCTGTTCTGTCGTTTGAAAATACTTTCAGTTTCCGATGCATCATTATTTCCTGCATAGACAACATGACCTCACCTATCTCCCGTCTCAGTGTGTTGGCCATATTTCTGATATACATTCCAGGCTTAGGGTGACGGTCTAAGATAAGAGTGTCAAAATTAATTCTTCATGCATTCCCCTGCACAATTATCAGACAGAAAGAGTTGGTGGTCACAGAGAAATTAAACAACTCAAGTAAGCTCATTCTTCTAACCAATTTTTATTTTCTGAGGATTTGAGTTATTCACTATTAAAATTATCCAACAGTACTCAAACGTCTACTTCAAACAGCCATTGTTTCAAATTTGAATGAATCACTCCAGAGATTTTAATTAGTCTCTGATAGAGACTCATATTGCATCAGGATTCCTAAATCCAGGTTCTCTCTAGCATCTTGATCTCTGGCTCTGTATCCACCAACAATTTGCAGGATCCATTTTCCATGTCTCTCAAGATCAGGAACCTAGAAAGGTAACCCCATTTCTTCTCCACCTGGTCAGGCTTTTGTGCCATTGCTCTCTAATGCACAGTCCCCTGCAGGAATAACACCAGTGAAGGTTAATAAGCGTAATGACCAAGTACTCATTTAACTCAGGAACTAAATATATATATTTTTTTGCAGATACCTCTTATAATTTGTAAGCGAATCTCTTAGTGTCTTTCTCTCTAGACAATGGAAAGGGGAGGAAATAGCCTCTCTCCATAAACACTGCATAAATGTGTTAGAATCAGATAAAGTTAACCTTTAATAACTCATCCTCTCTCCTAGCCTGCCCTGCTGGTTTTTATTTTTTTGTATCCTTAATTGAATCATGATATTTTCTTTCCTTCTAGTGTGATTAAAGATCTTAGTCCTTATTTTTGTGGGTTCTGGATTCTCTGTCTTACTGAGACCTTTGCCACCTCCAAATTAGGAAAGAATTTTCTTATATATTTTCTTTCTAACTTAAGTTTCTTGACGTAAAATTTAGACATTTAAAGTAGAGTTTATTTTTCTGTGTGGTATCATATTTCTCCACCATCACTTTCATTGACTTTATGAAATCCTGAATCATTTGCAAGATTTGCAATTCTCACTAAAATAGATTTGCATAAGTTTTACATTTTTATTTTGAACAGTGTATAACATTTGCCCATCAGCTAAGAGCCAACAGGGGCAGAGATATTGACATAATTGGAAGATGGGTGACTTCAAAAAGAGAACAATATCAAAGAGCATGTTTCAGTATTTTGGGGTTATGGCAATATCTTCCTTCTTGATAATGTTTCAAGTATATACTTAGGAAAGGAAGACCCTGCACAATATTGTATGAAGTGATGGACAGGTGAAATTTGCAAAGTGAAATGTGTGTTCACTAACCTGACAAGTTCTAAACTCACTCATTTTTCTTTGTGGGGAAACCAGTGCAGTGTTGTACTTCTGTGGCAATGTGAATGCCATGCATCTTTCCCAATATTTGCAGCACAGGAGACAAGCATGTTACACCATATGCTTATAAGATTTTCTAAAATCTCTCTTATTCAATGCCTTCCTGCGGGGGAGAGGAAATTAGGGCTTTTAAACCTGAGGCAATAAAATGAATCCTGTAGATAGAAACATATGTCTTGGCAGAGAATAAACTTTGGTTTATATACTTTTTGTTAAAGAAATTATGTTAGCATTCCAGCTACTGCATTTTTTTATTTAATCAATAAATACGAATTGACTATACATCCCTAGCACCAATTTGCAAAGCTGAATGGAGAGGAGAATTCAGAGGCAAATAAAAAATAATCATCATTTTGAAGGGTTCTCTTTCCACAAAGAGCTTTTCCTACCTATGAAAACAAAACACATTTATGAAACATTAAATTACTATACAAGAAAATAAATGGTATAAGAGTGCTGAATCGCCATAGGCAGGATTGCAAACAGCAGCTTCACAGAGGAGAGGAAAAGTCAGTGAGTTCAAAGGGCCTAGGATGCATAGAAAAGGGAAGAGAGGATATTTTAGAGGGAAAAACCCGAACAAAGCAAGTAGGCAGAAGCTCACAGTGTCATCTTTTTGTTTGATTTTGTTTTTAAAAAGTCAAAGGTGAGGTTAAAAATTCCCTGTTTTGCTACCATAGTATTTTTCCGGGAAAAATGTGCATGAAAAATTTACACTTTTTTTATTCTATGAATATTAATGAATATCTATGAAAATTCCTTTTTTCCCCACTTTCTCTAAAGAGTTCTCCAAACAGAAGCTGTTTGATGTAGTTATCAGTGTAATTGATTCTCACATGTTTTATTTTTAGTAGCTTTTAGAGTTTTACAGAGAAAGACAATTATTTTGGAAACACTCAAAATATAATCTAAAAGACACAGTTCTTAGAAATCTAAAATAGTTATGGACCATTCCAAAGAATAGATAATCTCGGCGCATATTATTTGACAGGCTAGTCTATTGAACATCAAGTATTAGTAAAAGAGGCTTAAACAGAAAGTGAAAGAGTCAAAACACAAAGATAGATTTGCCTGAAACCAATGATAAAGTCAGCAATTCACACAAAAAGACTTCATGTTTATTCACCACGCACAATGATGCTTTGACTGGGTACCAGAGTTGGCCTCACACCTCCATCAGCAAAACTCCTTTTGGTTTTGAGTTGCACGCTTTCTTTGCTCTTGGTAGCTAAGTGATTTTCTACCTTGGTAATGCATCATTTTCTCACTTTCAGAGCTCCTGGCAGCTAAGTAAACCCTTTGCAACATCCTGGCTTTTATACACTCCTCCTTTCCCCCTCCCTAACCCAGGCATCTCCCCATCTACACTTTGTCGCCTTTAATACCTTCTGCCTGCATGCCAATTGTAATTCTTGGAACCGCTTCACAATTAACCTGCAGCAACTTTCCCCATCCCCAACTCCCCTTAGAGAGTCTCTTGAGGGAAAAACTGCTCCGCAAATCATTCCAGGCCCAACAGCATTGCACTGCAGCCCTTCTTTTATACTGGTTTATGCTGTTAGGCTGAAATGATCAAGGAGGCATGAATAATTCTTTTTCTTGGGTGTCCTAGAAACACTTAAGGTGCCGTGTAATTCATGCAAAATTACCATGGGAGAATTCTCTCTCCTGAGCTGTTTTGTCCTGTAACCCTGGGGACATGTCAGTTCCAAGAATGGCCCTGTGCCTCACAAGTTCACCATCAGTTCTTCCTTTGGAAGTACCTGCTTTATTGACTTTTCTAAAACCAGCAGCCTCTTATTATTTTTCCCCTCAAGTAAAATATCCAGACACAAAGGTTACTGGTAGAAGCTTATAGTTGATTGCATAGGGCTTGTCGCTGAGATACATACACAAGCAGAGTCCACGGGTATTAATGAGATGACTGCAGGCCTGGGCCTTTATTTCAAAATTTAAACCTTTTGTGAGGTTTGGCCTGCTGAGCTTGGGTTTTAAAATTCTCTCCTCAAACCAAATTGAATCCGCAATGTGCTGGCAATTACCACAGCCTCTCTTAACCTTGTCAGAAAGGTTCCAGGAAAAAGAAAATGTATAGTAGACATTCTTAGAGCCTTAATTAGAAATGTAGACCATTCATGTTTTTCTTATTCAGAATGAGCGACTAGAAAATAAAAAATACTTGCTTTGGTCCATAAGACAGAAAGTTTTCAGTTTAAGCTGTCCCAAAGCACATTGTGATCTTATGAATTTTTTTCTATAAACCTGAAAATACTTTATAAGTGAATTCCAAATGATTAGATGAGGAATGAAATGTTCTTGTGATTCTTCCCTAATGGACAGGGACCAATCTTCACAAAAGATGGAGGCAGGAGTTGGGGTTGTCATTTCTTTTGCAGTCTTCGATCTCTTCCATATTGTTATCTGTACACCTTCATTCAAGAGCTCCTATTTCTCTGAAGCTCAGGCCCTCTAGCTAAAACTATGCTCTATGCTTCTTCATCACTGTCACCCACTGATCCCCTGGTCAATTCCATTGGTACACTGAATAGTTTAAGACCATATCTACCATCTTCCTCTCTTTCTAACACTGAATAACAATACCAAGTAGCGTGTGCACCTAGAAATCTAGCTTTGTATCTTTAATTCCAACCATCTCTCACTGTACATTCTATCACTCACCACATCCTAGATCTGGTTATCATCGAACAAAAAATTTGCCTCAATCCACAAATACTCAAAGTTTCTCTTTTCTTAAAAGTAAAATCTGTCCCTTGTTTCTCTAGCTATCATTCAGAGTTTACCTTGCATCCAAATGTTCTTAATAGTGTTTCTTCATTTGCTACGTCCCTCTGATTACTCCTCATTCATCCCTAAATCACTTGTGAAATGGAATATTCTTCTTTGCTAATAGTGTTCTCCCTGCAGTAACCCAATGGCCCAATTCAAAATACCAGCAGATTTGGTTTTGGGACCATTCCAAAGAACTTTACATAGCAGAACCTTTCCCCGTCTCTTGAGTACATGACAGGATATTCGTTTCTCTAGATATCTCTCTCAGCTAGTTCTCCTTGCCTCTCTCACAGACTCTTCTTTTTAATTATTATTATACTTAATAATAATAAGTATAATTATTAAACTAGGGTACATCTGCACAATGTGAAGTTTGTTACAGAGTTATACGTGTGCCATGTTGGTTTGCTGCACCCATCAACTCGTCATTTACATTAGGTATTTCTCCTAATGCTATCCCTCCCCCAGTCCCCCACCTCCTGACAGGCCCCAATGTGTGACGTTCCCCGCCCTGTGTCCATGTGTTCTCATTGTTCAATTCCCACCTGTGAGTGAGAACATGCAGTGTTTGATTTTCTGTCCTTGTGATAGTTTGCTGAGAATGATGGTTTCCATATCCCTGCAAAGGACATGAACTCATCATTTTTTATGGCTGTGTAGTATTCAATGGTGTATATGTGCCACATTCTCTTAATCCAATCAATCATTGATGGACATTTGGGTTGGTTCCAAGTCTTTGCTGTTGTGAATGATACCACAATAAACATACATGTGCACGTGTCTTAATAGTAGCATGATTTATAATCCTTTGCGTATATACGCAATAATGGGATCACTGGGTCAAGTGGTATTTCTAGTTGTAGATCCTTGAGGAATTGCCACACTGTCTTCCACAATGGTTGAACTAGTTTACAGTCCCACCAACAGTGTAAAAGCATTCCTATTTCTCAACATCCTCTCCAGCATCTGTTGTTTCCTGACATTTTAATAATCACCACATGAGATGGTATCTCATTGTGGTTTTGATTTGCATTTATCTGATGACCAATAATGATGAGCATTTTTTCTGTTGTGTCTGTTAGCTGCATAAATGTCTTCTGTTGAGAACTGTCTGTTCATATCTGTTGCCCACTTTTTGATGCGGTTGTTTGTGTGTTTCTTGTAAATTTGTTTAAGTTCTTTGTAGATTCTGGATATTAGCACTTTGTCAGATGGGTAGATTGCAAAAATTTTCTCCCGTTCTGTGGGTTGCCTGTTCACTCTGATGATAGTTTCTTTTGCTGTGCAGAAGCTCTTTACTTTAATTAGATACCATTTGTCTATTTTGACTTTTGTTGTCATTGCTTTTGATGTTTTAGTCATGAAGTCTTTGCCCATGCCTAGGTCCTGAATGGTATGGCCTAGGTTTTCTTCTAGGGTTTTTATGGTTTTAGGTCTAACATTTAAGTCTTTAATCCATCTTGAGTTAATTTTTGTATAAGGTGTAAGGAAGGGATCCAGTTTCAACTTTCTACATATGGCTAGCTAGTTTTCCCAGCACCATTTATTAAATAGGGAATCCTTTCCCCATTTCTTATTTTTGTCAGGTTTGTCAAAGATCAGATGGTTGTAGATGTGTGATGTTATTTCTCAGGCCTCTGTTCTGTTCCATTGGTCTATATCTCTGTTTTGGTAATAGTACTAAGCTGTTTTGGTTACTGTAGCCTTGTAGTGTAGTTTGAAGTCAGGTAGCGTGATGCCTCCAACTTTGTTCTTTTGGCTTAGGATTGTCTTGGCAATGCGGACTCTTTTTTGGTTCCATATGAACTTTAGAGTAGTTTTTTCCAATTCTTTGAAGAAAGTCATTGGTAGCTTGATGGGGATGGCATTGAATCTTTAAATTACCTTGGGCAATATGGCCATTTTCACAATATTGATTCTTCCTATCCATGAGCATGGAATGTTCTTTCATTTATTTGTGTCCTCTTTTATTTCATTGAGCAGTGGTTTGTAGTTCTCCTTGAAGAGGTCCTTTTCATCCCTTGTAAGTTGGATTCCTAGGTATTTTATTCTCTTTGTAGCAATTGTGAATGGGAGTTCACTTATGATTTGGCTCTCTGTTTGTCTGTTACTGTTGTATAAGAATGCTTGTGATTTTTGCACATTGGTTTTGTTTCCTGACACTTTGCAAAAGTTGCTTATCAGCTTAAGGAGAGTTTGGGCTGAGATGATGGGGCTTTCTAAATATACAATCATGTCATCTGCAAAGAGGAACAATTTGACTTGCTCTTTTCCTAATTGAATGCCCTTTATTTATTTCTCTTTCCTGATTGCCCTGGCCAGAACTTCCAACATTATGTTGAAGAGGAGTAGTGAGAAAGGTCGTCCTTGTCTTGTGACGGTTTTCAAAGGGAATGCTTCCAGTTTTTGCCCATTCAGTATGATACTGGCTGTGGGTTTGTGATAAATAGCTCTTATTATTTTGAGATATGTTCCATCAATAAATAGTTTATTTAGAGTTTTTAGCATGAAGAGATGTTGAATTTTGTCGGAGACATTTTCTGCATCTATTCAGATAATCATGTGGCTTTTGTCATTGGTTCTGTTTATGTGGTAGATTACATTTATTGATTTGCGTATGTTGAACCAGCCTTGCATCCAAGGGATAAAACCGACTTGATCGTGGTGGATAAGCTTTTTGATGTGCTGTTGGATTCAGTTTGCCAGTATTTTATTGAGGATTTTTTCATCGATGTTCATCAGGGATATTGGTTTAAATTTCTCTTTTATTTGTTGTGTCTCTGACAGGCTTTGGTATCAAGATGATGCTGGCCTCATAAAATGAGTTAGGGAGGATTCTCTCTTTTTCTATTGGTTGGAATAGTTTCCTAAGGAATGGTACCAGCTCCTCTTTGTACCTCTGGTAGAATTCGACTGTGAATCTGTCTGGTCCTGGACTTTTTTTGGTTGGTAGAATATTAATTAGTGCCTCAATTTCAGAACCTGTTACTGGTCTATTCAGAAATTCAACTTCTTCCTGGTTTAGTCTTGGGAGGGTATATTTGTCCAGGAATTTATCCATTTCTTCTAGATTTGCTAGTTTATTTGAGTATAGGTGTTTACAGTATTCTCTGATGGTAGTTTGTATTTCTGTGAGATCAGTGGTGATATCTCCTTTATCATTTTTATTGCATCTATTTGATTCTTCTCCTGTTTCTTCTTTATTAGTCTTGCTAGTGGTCTATCTAGTTTGCTGATCTTTTCAAAAAACCAGCTCCTGGATTCATTGATTTTTTGAAGGATTTTTTGTGTTTCTATCTCCTTTAGTTCTGCTCTGATCTTAGTTATTTCTTGCCTTCTGCTAGCTTTTGAATTTGTTTGCTCTTGCTTCTCTAGTTCTTTTAATTATGATGTTAAGGGTGTTGATTTTAGATATTTCTTGCTTTATCTTGAGGGCCTTTAGTGCTATACATTTCCCTCTACACACTGCTATAAATGTGTCCCAGAGATTCTGGTATGTTGTGTCTCTGTTCTCATTGGTTTCAAAGAATATCTTTATTTATGCCTTCATTTTGTTATTTACCCAGCAGTCATTCAGGAGCAGGTTGTTCAGTTGACATGTAGTTATGTGGTTTTGAGTAAATTTCTTAATCCTGAGCTCTAATTTGATTGCACAGTAGTCTGAGAGACAGTTTGTTGTGATTTCTGATCTTTTACATTTCTAAGGAGTGTTTTACTTCCAACTA